CCCAGTTCCCTTGCTGTCCCCGACTCCGGCCTCAGCCCACGATCGCCCTGCGGGCCTGGAGGACGATGAGGCCCAGCAGATGGCAGCGCGGATCGCAGGGGCCCTGGGCAGCCTGCTCACGCCCCTCTTCCTCCGCGGCATCCTCACCTTCCTCATCTGGTGGACCGCCGCCTGCCAACTGCTCTCCAGCCTCTTCGGCCTGTACTTCCACCGGCACCTGGCGGGCTCCTAGCCGCCTGCAGAAGACGCTCCTGGGTCCCCAAGGTCCGGGCCGAGCCAGCGTTCACGGTCGCCTCCGTGTGTGCCTCAGTGTCCTCAGGTGCAAGGTGGGCCTGGGAGTCCCCGCAGCGCCCGCTGTGCGCGTCCACTTCACCGCCGTGCCTGACTGTGGCCCCCTCGGATCCCATGTTTCTGCCTCAAAACTGTTGCCCTGGGCCCAGTGGCAGCGGATCCCAGGGCCATTGTTCCCAGACTGCATGCCCCCCCAATGTGAGGCAGAAGTGGGGGTTCATTCTTCTGAATAAAAGAGCAGGCTGCTTTTACAAAGAGGACTGGAGTGGTTTGGGAGGCTGCTCTCTGCCTGTTGGTGTGGCTCAGGCCAAGGTGCATGTGGGGGCTTCTGGGGAGTGGGCTTCCGGGCTGAGTGAAGGGAACCGCTGAGGGAGAGCACAGGGCCACCCAGACAGTAAGCAAAGGCCTGGGAGCAAGAAGTGAAGAGAGGAGGAAACAAGTATTGAAAACTTCCAGTTCCAGTGGGTCTGGAGGTGACAAGTCAGGGGAGAAGGAAGAGAGGGGCTGGAGAAGGAAGGGGGGGTGGGCAAGAGGGAGCAGAGGGTGGGAAGCGGCAAGGAGCGGGAGTGGACAGGGAGGAAGAGAAGGGGGGGAAATGGAGATGGCAGATAAAGTTGTAGAAATCTTGCAGGAGGAACAGAAAGAGAAAGATAATGTAAAACAAGGGAGGGAGGGGACAAAGATAAATCAGAGGACTGACCCAGAAGAATCTTCCAAAGAAAGTTCTGGAAAGAGACCTCCGAGCAGGGGAAGACACTGAAGGAGCCAGGCAAGGGGAACTCCCCAGGACGGCACGGTCCCAGGTGCTGAGAGACAAGAACTCCATCCCTAGCCATGTGTCCAGAAAGTTCCAGAATGAAGACCACCTCCCGGCCAGGACAGAAAAGCTCACGCCTAATGGCCCAGGAATCAGAGATGACAGAGCATTGTCCCCTCATTCTGCTGGTCCCGCACTATGGCTGACACCCAAGAAGCCCCTGGAGCCGGCGCCCTGAGCCCACTGGCACAGACCCCTGGTGGTGGTGCCTTTGGCCACCTGGCCCTTCCCTTGCCCAGCCAGGGCTATGCGTGCTCTCTGCTCTCAGAGCTCAACGCCATGTGGTTTAGGGACACACAGGAAGTTGGGAACACCAACAGAAAAGCAAGAGAGTGACCGGCACAAGGCGCACATGGGACAGCCAAGGCAGGAAGAGCCCGTGACGGTCACAGGCTCACTGCCGTGCGTTAAACCACAGTGGTCTTACAGACTTTCTGGGACACATTTCACAATCAAAAAAAAAAAAAAAGAGAGAGAGAGAGAAACAAGGTGGAACCGCAGAGAAAAATAGGGAAGATAGAAGGGGGTGGTCAGGATCCTGTGTTTTCAGGAGCAGTATTACATTGTTGTTAAGGGACACATCAGGGGTAATCCCCACACATCAGTGCTTCTCACAGGAGGGGATGGTTCTGCCCCAAAGGGATACTAGTCAACGTCTGGAGGCATTTTTTTCTGGAGACATTTTTGGTTGTCATGATTGAGACGGGACAGGGACACTACTGCATCTGGTGGGCAGAGGCCAAGGATGCCATTCAACTTCCTGAAGTGCCCACGATGGCCCCACCCCGGAAGTCAGCAATGCCCCGGCCCAGAAGCCCCGTGTTATAGGAAACACAACGTATCATTTCTAAACCAGCTGAAGAAAGAAAATTTTAAAAAAATAATAAAAAGAAATAAGAAAACCCAACAGCAAGTCAAACTTTCAATGATTCCAGAGAAATAAGCAAAGGAGAAACCCAGTGGAAGGAAAAGACACAATAAACTGGAAATAGGACCCAGATGCACCCAGGCACCTTGGAACCACTCTTGTCTGGGTCCCTGGGGACCTCCACCTCGTCCAGTCTTCAGGCCTCCTCCTGACCTTGCTGTCTCTTCCCCCGTCACCGCCTGGTCACCACCCACACCCTGGACGCGCTGCTGCTTCCCCTGTCGGAACAGTGAGGAGCTACGAGGCTGGAGACTGGCCCTTGGTGAGGGCAGGCGCTGAATGACGCCCTCCCCAAATTCACAGGTTGACGTCCTAACCTCTCGGACCTCAGAATGGGGCTGGATTTGGGATACCGGGGCTTTAAAGACGTGATTGAGTTAAAATGAGGCCATTAAGGTGGGTCCTTATAAGACGAAATTTGCTTTCTTTTTTCTATTACAACGAAATTCAGGCACAGACATGCACTGAGGGAGGATGATAGGAAGATGGCCAGCAGCGAGCCAAGGAGAGGCCCGGACAGATTCTTCCCTCAGGGCCTCGGAAGGACTCAAACCCGCTGACACCTTGATTTTTGGACCTCTGGTCTCCAGAACTATAGGAGAATAAATTTGGCTTTTTAAGCCCCCCCAGTCTGGGGTACTTTGTTAAGGCGGCCACAGGGCACTCAGGACAGGGAGGGTATGTGGTATAAATGGCTACCATCTCCTTGCAGGAGTATCCGGCATCTCTGTTCATCTCTGGATAGATTTCCCCCAACGGTGACCCTGTCATGAGGACTCAGGGCCCATGGTTTGCCTGGAGGGTGACCCCAGAGAGACTGCTTGAGGGTGGAAGCATGAAACAGGGATGGAGGAACCCTGTGGAGGTGCCAGGGAACAGGTGACTAAGTGGGCAACCTGGGCCTGGTCCTGCTGGGGACCTTGGGGGACAGTGTAGATCTGACTCAAGTGGAGTCAGATGGTGGAGGGACACAATCGTTACCTGAGGGCTGTTCTTGGGGTGCTGGGTCATGCTCTACGGGGGAGCCCCGAGAGTGGGTCACAGTGGCTTACAGCCAAAAGCAGTTGGTGGCAACCATGCCTGCTGGACCTGGGGATGGGCGCTGGCAGCATCAGTTAACATATCCCTTGATCCCTACCTAGGAATTTCATTCCCGGAGACCCATAGACACACCAGTGCATGAACACAAAGAGTAACATACCAGATACGCTTCAGAAAGTGCCAGGAAGCTCTGCTGTAATTGTCTTCAATAAACAGGATAAAGTGACTCATTGCCAGAAGTTGAGAGGCAGTTGAGAGCTTCAGGCAAGGCTGCATCCAGCAGCAATATAGTGTCACAAATATTCTGACTCCTCTGTTCATCTCTGCTCCATTATCTGCAGTGCCAGCTTCACCCCGGGCTTGCTTTCTACCTTGTGATCACAAGATAGTCCCAACAATTGCCTGGGCTGGTGTTTCTTCCCTCAGGGCCAGAGGGAGAGAGAGGGTGCTTCCAGAAGTTCTCCCTGGAAGTGGTTAGCAAATATCTTCTCTGCTATCATGGGTGCAGATGGAATCACGTGCCCACCTCCATATTTTAGGGGATGCCACAGTGCTTGGGGGGAAATGGGGAGCTGATCCAGACCCTCCTAGGCTTAGGGCCTGGTACAAGAGGTGGGACTGGCCAGAAATCGGTAGGATGTGAGGGGCAAGCTCGGCAGTCCCTAGGAGCCACTACCTCGTCGTCACGGCAACAGATCATGAACAACCTCAATGACCATCAATAAGGGATGTCATCACAGGCCACCACCCCAGGGAAACACCAAACAGTGGCTAAACAGACAAACGGTACACAGCAGGGACCAATGTGCAAGAAATACAGTTGATTGAAAGCAGCTTGCAGAGCAGCTCAGGGTCAGCAAGGTAGAAAGTACTTGAGCTGCTCACCACCCCCACGAGTGCACACACCCAGTCGCCCCTCCTCCCCGGGCATGTGGAGGCTCCCACTTCCCGCCTCTGGTCAGGTGCACCTTACAAGTTGGTCCAGGTAACAGGCTGCAGTCTCAATGGCCCCTGTGAGATCTCTGGTGGCCTCCTCGTCCTTGTGACCCTGCAGACAGCCACACTCGCTCCTATTGCCTCCACTGGCTGGGGAGCGGACCCCTCCCACCCCCCCGCCGCACAGGGCAGGCGGGCAGGGCATGGGAGAGAAACAACAGGACTTTGAGGCCATGCTCGCTGCCGTAGGATGCCACCCATCCCAACTGAGGACGCGGCTCGCCACGTCTGTCCTCAAAAGGGACGAGTGTTTATGCACAGGATGGCCCTGGAAGGATACATGAGAAACTTGTAACAGAAGACACCTCGGCAGAGGGAACTGGCCGGCCGACATACTTCTCACCGCAACTCTTTTACAGTCTGAGTTTTCTAGAAGACCACGGTATGTATTAATAATTGAAACAATAATTACATTAAAAAGGTTTATTCAAGGGACGCTTGGCTGGCTCAGTCGGTAGAGCTGATAATGTCCTCCCCAAATCTTAGAGTCTTGAGTTCAAGCCCCATGTTGGGCATGGAGCCTACTTTAAAAAAATTTTTTTTTGTTTTATTTATTTCTGAGAGAGAGAGAGACGGCGTGAGCAGCGGAGGGTCAGAGAGAGAGGGAGACACAGAATCCGCAACAAGCTCTAGGTTCTGAGCTAGCTGTCAGCACAGAGCCTGATGTAGGGCTCGAACCCACAAACCGTGAGATCATGACCTGAGCCGAAGTCAGATGCTCAACTGACTGAGCCACCCAGGTGCCCCCATGGAGTCTACTTTTAAAAAAAAAAAAGGTTTATTCAAGAATATATTACGAAATCTATCCAAATAACCTCAACCCTGTTTTTGGTTCAAAGGGGAGGGAGGGTTGGGCGGTCAGAGCTGGAGAGAAGAGACATGGACAGAAAAAAAAGTCATTTTAATTTTTATTAAATATACTCTCTTGGCACAAATCTTTTAAAATATATAAACATTATATATAAACAAAGTGTCTTCATGGCATCAAAATGTAACTCCAGATCAGGATGGACACCAGTGGGAGGGGCGTGACCCCGGAGGGCACTAGCCCCGCTGTGGGTGGTGCCAGGGTCCCCTCGGCTGGGAGCCCCCCGGGGAGGCACAGCTCTGCCAGCAGGACGTGGGGCCCCTCCCTCTGCCACCCAGCCTGAGGCTCAGAGAAGGGTGCCGCCGAGCCATTCATTTGGTCTCACCTGCCTGCGGTGGACCCCCACCCCCTGCTGCCTCCTCTCGCCTTGTGGCCCTCGGGTCCCCACTCTGTCTCCCCGTGAGGGGTCCCTGCCTCCCCTGCCGAGCCTGGGTGCTGAGCAGGGCGAGGAGAGGAGGTGGGAAGTCCACTCAACAGAACAGCCTGGGACCCTGGCGACGAGACTCGGGCTGGCCGGCAGACACATGCAAGGAAGGACAGAGAGAGAGGTCTTCATACCCGCAGGTCCAAGGCAATGACAGAAATGGGACAGAACAAAGGGGAGAAATGAAAAGTCACGACTGGAAATGTGCACGGGGCAAACACGCCCTCTTAGACCCTTTCACACGTCGCGGCTGCAGAGCTGTCTGTGAAAACCGACCCTCTGGTCCCCGTCCGCCTGGAACCAGATTGCACGGGTCGGGGTGACCAGACCCAGGGTCAGCTAAGAAACTCCCAATGTCATTCTGAAATGTGACACCCAGCAGACCCCAGGGGACTTCTCCATGAGACCAGCTCGCTGGGGGTGCCCTGGGGTACCAAGAATCCCACCCCTGGACTACACATGATCTCAGGAGCTCCCACTTTGGGAAGATCAAGGCTGCCAGTTGCCTCCAAGTAATCAGACAACTCTGTGGGCCTTAAACTGCTATGTGTCTTGGCCAAGTACCTGCTCAGGTGGGGGAGCCAGGGATGTGCTGTATGCCACACGTCCCCGCAGGAGCCGGCGCGCCTGGGGCAGAGGGCTAGGGCCTGAGGCCAGGCCTCTATTGGTGTGGCCTGTGGGACAGGGGTGGGAGCTTCTGGCCCAGAGGAGGTGAATTGGGCACCCAGTTTTCAGCAGATGCCTTCTGGCTAGGACTTAGACCCAAACCCATGGGAAGTCCTCAAGCCTGGAGGAGATGTGACCCTCCTGGGAACATTACAAACCAGACCGGTGGGCAACAGAGGGGAAGACCCACTCCTGGTGCCCTACTTTGGCCACAGAGTCCAGGATCCAAATAATGCTCTTGGGAGAAGGCTGTTCCGAAGCAGGAGGCTCTGGTGACAGGGGAGTCATGTCACCTGGGAAGTAATGGCAAAGGCAGGACAGGAGGGGCAGGCGGGACAGGAGGCTGTATTTGTAGCCCCAGCTGAGCAGAAGGCTGGCCCCACCTCAGCAGGGCCTGGACAGGCTTCTCCGAACACTCGGGGGCTCCCTCCCCTCTGTGGGCACGGGGGCAGGCCAAGTCTGGCTCTGAGCCCAGTGGGCATGGGGTCACTAGAACCAGGAGCAGGTCCAAGGTCACAGGGCGCCAGGAGGTGGTGCTGGTCACTCCCAGCTCAGGGCATTTAGGGCAACACCTCCAGGAGACAGTGCCAGCCCCAGGGAGGAGGGATGGGGAGGGTGTGGCAGCCCCTGCCCATCAGCCTCAACATTGCACTTCAAGGGCCGCCGGCTTCTGAGACCAAGGCCAGGTCCCCCAGCTTATTCTACAAGGTGCTCCAATGACGCGGTTCCCAGGGCGGGACCACGTGCACCCTCACTCCCCAGGCTCAGAAACGAAAGGGGTCAATGGTCCGCCGCACGTGGAAGCTCGGCCCTCCCCTCCCGTCTGGAGAGCAGCTGGCCCGCCGGCTCCCTAGCTCTGCAGGTGCCGCAGCAGGATCTGCATGAGGTCGAAGGTGGTGAAGCTGATGCCCACGGCGATGGGGCCCTTGAGCCAGTTCATGCTCAGACCCTTGTAGAGGCCGCGCACGGCGCCTTCCTCCCGCACGATGGCACGCAGCGTTTGCGCGATGGATGCGTGTGGGTGACCCGTGACCCCGGCTGTCTGCATGCGCCGCCGCACCACGTCCAGGGGGTACGAGGCTGACTGCCCAATGAGGCCAGCACAGGCCCCAAATACCATGCGCTCAAAGGGGTAGGGCTGCGGGCGGCCGCTGTACTCTGTGGGCAAGGGACAGAGGGGCCGTGTGAGGGCGTCACAAGGGGGCACACTCCCCGTTGTGGGTGCACCTCCCCCCACCCCGGCACTCACACAGGCCCATGCTCTGTACCTGCTGTGGCTCAGGGCTCCCCTGGCCCCCCTGGGCCTTCCCACCCTGGCCTCCTCACTTCCCAGCCACTCCTTTTTAATCAAATTTGAGAAGAAAAGTTTCTAAAAAGGCAGAAACTCACAAATAGTCCCTTAACCAAGTCCTACGACCCAGAATGAACTCCCATCTAATCGCTCTTGTTTTCCCATCAAGCAAAGAAGGAAATTGATATGGGCGACCACTACCCTCTCCATCACCCAGCCTGCTCCATGGGTACCCTCCGCAGGGATGCCAGGATGCGGGGAGGTGAGCAGGTGTGAGGACGGGACATGTGGGACAGAGGAAGGAGCAGCAGCCAAACAAGAGGGGTTCTTTAAAACTGTGTGGCTGTCAGGGCACCTGGGTGGCTCAGTCGGTTAAGCATCTGACTTCGGCTCAGGTCATGATCTCACGGTTTGTGAGTTCGGGCCCTGGGTCGGGCTCTGTGCTGACAGCTTAGAGCCTGGAGCCTGCTTCAGATTCTGTGTCTCCCGCTCTGTCCCTCCCCAACTCATACTTTCTCTCTCAAAACTAAATAAACATAAAAAAAACAAAAACAAAAACCCTGTGTGGTTGTAAAAGTAAAACTAGGAATTACAAACAGTGGGGCACCACTATTCACTCAGCACACTGGCCAGACAGGAAGGAATCCGCTGGTGCCCCACGTGGGGTGAGCACATGGAGACGGGGCTGAGGGGCAAACGGAGTAAGGAGTAAGTCCTCAAACGGGGGCTCACACCCTGGGTGTCTGCTGATCACTGAAAACCTGGAAACACCCAGCACCCCTGGCAGGGGAGACCTACTACACCGCAAAAAGGACAGGGCAGAGCCTCAGATCCGGCAGGATGGACTCAGAGCCGGGGCCCGGCTGTGCTTGTCGCAGATGAAGGTAAGTCAGCTGTGGTCACTGATCACTGCATTACAAGGTAGGTAACCTGCTACAGAAATGCGTGTGGGAGCACCAGCAGCCAGCGTGAGGGAGGCAGTTCTCGTAAAGAGGCCTCAGCGGGGAGTGAGGCTGCGGTGGGGAACACAGGACCTCAGCTTCACTCGGAACATTTTCTTTAACAGAAAACATCTTGGAGCGACGTCAACACCTGTTTGCATGGGGCGGGTGTAGCAGGTATGGGTGGTGGCCTACTGTTCTCTGTATTTTTCTGCACTTTCTGAATTTCTCAAAATCGCCTAAATACAGGAGGGCACTCCCTCGGCCATTGAGATGGTACCCGGGATGCTCTGTGCACGAGTGGCTGCCCCCCCTCCAGACGACACTCTGGATTTCACAAAGCTGGTCTTAAAACGCAGCACGAAAGGGGGGGAGTCTAGCAGCCTCAGTGGTGGCTCGATGTGGGTCTCATTCTGACTCGGACCTTGGCCGGACACGGGGCGGGGATCTTAGGGTCCTGCCTCTGCGTGTGTGTGACCCCGGGAGGTGTTGCCCTGGCTTCTGGCTCCTTACCTCTGTGCAGGCTCTTGAGCGTCTCATAGGTGAAGAAGCTCAGCCCGGCGTAGGGAATGACCCCCAGAACAGTGGGCGTGAACCCGTGGTAGAGGGTCTTCAGGCCCTCTTCTCGGGAGATGCGGATGAAGACATGAAAGATGTTGCTGTACCTGCAAGACAGTGACAGAGCGGGTGGGCCATGGGCACACCGAGGGGCTGCTGGCCTCCTCTGATTCTCTGCTCCTCCCGGATGTCGGATGGGCCACGGTCTGGATGGTGATGCCTTCCTTCTTTAAGGAACAGAGCCACGTGGCAAAAGCTTTGGCATTGGAGGGGGAAATGCGTGCCTGAGGCCGTACCCCACCTTCAGCTCCCAGGTCACTCTGCTGTGCACGGCTCTTGTCTTTTCACCGTGGGCATTTGTAACATATCCATGCCAATCCAAAATGGAGACTCTGGGGGGATGCCTGGGGGGCTCAGTCGGTTGAGGGTCCGACTTTAGCTCAGGTCATGATCTCATGGTTTGTGGGTTGGAGCCCCATGTCGGGCTTTGCACTGACAGCCAGGAGTCTGCTTTGGATGCTGTCTCTCTCTCAGCCCCTCCCCCACTCGTGTTCTCTCTTCCTCTCAAAAATAAACAAACATTAAAAAAAAAAAAAGGAAGGCTTTTGGTCTGATATAAGTAGAAGCAGACCCTCAGGCTTAGAGAACCAATTACTGCCTGTCTGGAGTAGCGGCAGAACGGAACGTCTGGCCTGGGAACTCACATTTCCTTTGGGGTCACGGCCATCCTCGCTCTGACCAAGTCCAGGGGGTAGGTCAGTGAAGCAGCTGTCGTTCCGGCTAGTGCGCCCGCCAGGAGGCGGGGCCAAGGGGGCAGGGCTCTGTAAAGGGGGGAGGAGAGAAAGTGAGGCCCCCCCCAAGACTTGGGGTGCCCACAGGTCTCGGCCAGTGGGGAGAACCAAGGAATGGGCAGGGGTTGGCCGCTTTATGTCCCTGTCCCTCTTGGGCAGACGTCATTTTGAGGTTTCCACAGCTGCCTTTCCTTGGCATCTGCTCGTATGGATTAAAGAGGTGTTTCTTCCCTATGGACACTGGGGCACAGTTGGGATCGGGGCCCCCCCGGGACTTAGGTTCTGAGGGGAGACTGGGCAAACGAGAGTTCTGCCGTGGTGAGCGTGCGGAGACAGGAGGACAGGGTGGAGGCACAGAGTCGAGAGGGGTTGTGGGGCCGGCTGGGGCCGTCACTCACTCTCCGCGGAAGCCATAGTAGTGGCCCAGGATGCGCTTGTACTCCTCGTGCGCGCTGAACTGGATGGCGGCGTAGGGCACCACGCGCACCATGGTGGCCGAGTTCCCGCGCCACAGGCTGAGGAAGCCCTCGTTGAGGTAGGTGAAGTAGAGGAGCCGGAACGCCTCCTGGGGCGGGCGGGGTGTGAGGTCAGCACCCTGGCCTGCCCTGTGCCCCGCTCCATGGTGAACAGCCTATTTGGTCCTGCACTGTGACTGGGGGCCACCAGATTGGTCCCGCCCCACCTCACCCCCCACATTCTCTGGGCCTCGCGCAGGGACCCCTCTCTCCCTGCTCCCTTGGGCCTAGGAGCAGTCGTGAGCCAGGGGAAACCAGGTTTGCAGACAAGAGCCCCACACAGAGGGTGTTTTGTTAGTCTCTCTGGTCATCTAGCTTTCAAGGATATTCTTTCTCTTCCTATATTAATAAGGTGATGTCCGCTCTCTGTTTAAAAAGGAATCAAATGTGTTCAGAACTTCAAGTCCTCTCCCCAACACCCCGAGGATGAGGGTCTCTCGTCAGTGCCTGGGGTGGGCTGCATCCAGGCAGGTCGGGGCTCCAGGACAGGCGGCCCTGGCCCCGGGCCCTGGTCGGGGAGGCCTCAGGTCACGCAGCAGCCCGGGAACTGGCTTGTGGGGCAACGAAAGGGAAAAAAACCACTTTGAGAAGCATCTTCCTCCACCCCCGGGCCACGTGCAACCCCCTCCTGACAGCCTGGCAGGGCAGAGGTCGGTGCTGGCCCCAGAGCCAGGAGTCAGTGACCTAGTAGCTCACCTTGGCAGAAAATCTTTTTGAAGACACTGGAAAAAAACCAGAAACACAATAGCGACCATTAGAGGTGAAGGACAGGACCTCGGTCTGTGGGACCTCCCACTGCTGGGGTCAGGTATGAGCAGGGGCATTGAGACGGGCCCCTGAGGAGGCTTCCCTGCCAAGGGCTGAGGTGGGGGAGGCTGCGCCATAAGGGGTCTTGCAGCCTCCCTCTCCTCACTTCTCGAGAGCCTACTGTGTTCCCAGGACATGCTCACACGCTCACCTGTGCGGACAGGTGTGCACACCTACTGCCCTCCGAGCTACACCCAGTGCCTGGAGGCCTCCATGCGGCGCATTCGCTCCAGGCCACAGCACCTGCTGCCGCCCGGGGAGGTGTGTGCTCAGCGGCGCGCTCTTTCCCACGTCAGCTCGCTCCTCTGGGAGGAGGCTGCTATTAACGTCCTGTTTTGTGGCTGAGGAAACTGAGGCACAGGGAGGCTAGGGACCAGGTGGAGGAGGGCCTGGCTTGAATCTGCAGTCCCTTCCTCCCCAATAGTTGAGGGGCAGGGGTCCCAGCTTGTGACTGCCCTGTGGTAGGCACTGGTCACAGTCTATGGGATGGAAAGGCCTCATCTTCAGGGGACCCTGTGGCTGCTCAACCCCAAAGAGAGAGGGTGAAGGTGTTTAGAACCGGGCCTCCCCAAAAGGAGTGTCCACATCCTCAAGCTGAGGACAAGTGAATGGGACTTAATTTGGAAACGGGGTCTTTGGAGACATAATTAAATTCAGATGAGATCTTACAGGAGTGGGGTGGGCCCTACATCCAGTGACAAGTGTCCTTATAAAAGGATAAGAGGGGTGGACACAGACGCAGAGGGCAAAGCAGAGTCCAGGGTGATGCGACCACAAGCCAAGGCTGCCTGGAGCCCAGGAGCTGGAAGGCTCCTCCCCCAGAGTCCACAAAAGGAATGAGCCGGGATGACACCCTGATTTCAGACTTCCGGCCTCTGGAGTGTAAGCTGTGTGGTTTGTGGTGCTTTCTGATGGCAGCCCTGGGGCCAGCAGGGTTTCTAAGTGGGTGTTTAAGAAGCATTTTTCTTAAGTTTATTTATTCATCTTGAGAGAGAATGTGCAGGGGGACAGGGGGCCAGAAGGAGAGGGGGAGAGAATCCCAAGCAGGCTCTGCATTAGAGCCAGATGCGAGCTTGATCCCACAAACCCTGAGATCATGACCTGAGCTGAAATCAAGCAGTTGGATGCTTAACAGACTGAGCCTCCCAGGTGCCCCCTAAAAAGGCATTTTTAAAGCCAATTTGCAGTGCAGCTTGGGGGGGCCGCAGAGGAGAGTGAGCACCCGGAAGTATCTCTAGCCTATAGACAGGTGGACAGAGATTTACCTTGGAAGATGATTTTGGTTCGGTCCAGGGGAGCTACCGCCGTTTTGGCGAGAGCACCAGCTAGGGCCCCAGACAGGAGGGAGCTGAGAACTTGCTTGTGGTCGCTCTGCAAGAAAACACATGGACACAGTCTGTCACGGGGGAGGGTGGGGTGCGGAATGGGGTCTGCTCCGCTGGGGGCCTCACCCAGGAGGAACATCTTCCTTCTACCCCTGGTCGAGGGCTGTAACTTGCACAGCTGTCCAAGTTTCACAGGCCTGCTGGGCCCCGGGCACAGTGAGGCACAGGGCAAGCCATCATGAGTCCAGTGGCCACGGAGCCTGTGTGGGACACAGTGAAAACCTTCTGGGTGACAGGGACCATCCACATGAGAGGTGACCCGCTGGCTGGGCTGTCCCATGAGTTCCCATTCCCAACTTCTCAGAGACAGCTGAGATAGGGCTGACCCCAAACAGGAGAGTCCCTGCACCCTGAGTGCAGACCTGGCTGCGTCCGCTGCCTGTGTGCACCAGGGTCCCGTGCTATAGAGCTCAGAACAAAGTCACAGGGGCCCTTGTGGGCTGGGGACCAGGCAGTGACATCAGGCAAGCAGACCCTCTGTGTCAGTGTGACCCCTTTCCACAACTTTCCATCAGGTCTGCCAGAGGCCTGCATTTGTGGTTCTTTTCCCAGCCAAGGTGAAGGTGAAGGTGAAGGTGCTGGTGCCGGCCTGCATCACGAGGAGAGCCTCAGAGCCAGCACTGTCCCCGAGTCTTCTCAAGGCTCCCTGGGAGGAGTTGCACAAGAAGTCACCTGCTTACCACGCTGGAGTCTCCACTCCCCCAGCTGACTTGGCCACAGAACTCTCGCCACCACAGGGAGCACCTGGGCCTGGAGATGCTCCCATCTTTCCTGGCTCTATAATGAGGAGGGATGGGGGAGGGGCAGGCCACTCTGTGATCCCAGGGGTCCCTGGAGTCTGACAGGAACCAGGTGCCTTGAGGATCCTTGGGACACACAGGGTGTATGGGGGGATATGTACAACTCCCCCTCCCCTTGGGGCTGCCAGTCTACCGGGAGAGCCAGACATGAACTAAATGTGTTGAGTCACCGATCCAGGAGGGCTGTGATGAGGGGGCTTTGGGTCCCCGGAGAACATGGGGTGGAAGTGAGGGGTCCCAGGAGAACATGGGGTGGGTGATGAGGGGCTGAGTTTGAAGGATGAGGCAAAGCTAAGTGTGTGTGTGTGTGTGTGTGTGTGTGTGTGTGTGTGTGTGTGAGAGAGAGAGAGAGAGAGAGAGAGAGAGAGAGACAGAGAGAGAGACAGAGAGAGAGAGAGAGAGATGGTATTATAGGGGGAGGAATGGAACACCCAGAGGCCCTGGTGAGAAGCAGGGGGTCCTGGGGGACCCCAAGACAGGTAGGGTGGCTGACATAGGGAAAGGGAGGGGGCACAGGGAGGAGAGAAGAGATGAAAGGCAGGTGGGGCCGGACTCCGGGGAGCCTGGGGGCCCAGCAAGCAGACTGGGCCTGCTTGTAACTGTAACCAGAGAGGAGACAGCGCCCGCGGAAACTCAGGGCAGAGACATGGAGGCTAGGCCCAGGGGATGGATAAGAGGCATGGGGGGTGGGGGGCAGTGCATAAAACTGGCAGCCTGGGTCTGAGTGGGCATGGTGAGGTCCAGGGTCACTCCCCGAATTTGCTCAGCTCAGTGGGTAGGTTAAGAGTGAAGGGCTGGATTCCAAGTCTGTCTGCACACCTGGCCTGCATCTGGGCTCTGTCCTGACTGCCTGCAATGGCCATGGCCTTTCTTTTTTTCTTTTTAATTTTTTAAAATGTTTTTTATTTATTTCTGAGAGAAAGAGAGAGGGAGACAGTGTGAGTAGGGGAGGGTCAGAGAGAAAGGGAGACACGGAATCTGAAGCAGGCTCCAGGCTCTGAGCTGTCAGCACAGAGCCCGACGTGGGGCTCGAACCCACGAACCGTGAGATCATGACCTGAGCCGAAGTCGGACACTTAACTGACTGAGCCACCCAGGTACCCCATGGCCATGGCCTTTCTGATCTCATCTGACACTGATGTGCTGTCTCCTGGCCAGGTCTGGGTGCCCCCAGGGGCTGTGGTGCCCTTCAATCAGGCCCCGTCCCTGGAGGGCTTCACCTCCTTTTCTTTAATGCCCCCAGCACCTCCCCCACCAGCCTGGCCCTCGCTTCCCTACAGAAACAGTCTCCCGTGGGGGTGTTTTCCCTCCTCAGTTTCTGTGGTAGAGCTTCACCACGGGCTTCCATCTTCTCCTCGCTTTATAGAAGCCTGTCACTGGGACGCTCTGCCTTTTCTAGATCACATAGCAAGGTTCTGGAGGTCTGGCCCTACTGCTTCGAGAAGTTTAGACGGCAGAAGCCGCGAGGTTCAGTGGTGTTCCCAGCAGCAGCTCCGAGGCCCAGCCGCCTCCCAATTCCCTCTCCGAATCAGCGTGATGACTGTTCAACTCGTGGGCCGCTGAGACGGGGGGAGTACCCCGTGGACAGGCCACATGCCCTGGTGGTCCTAGGGGTGCAACCAATGTGTCCCTTCCTGCGCAGCCTGCGGTTCTCAGCGTCGTAAAGCTACTTCTGCACACCAGGAACATGCGGCCGTCATCCTGATTCAGGATGGGGTGCTCGGGGATGTGCTGGGAGCCCAGTTCACGTGCTCGGTGGACGAGGCTGCTGCTGCCTTTGGCCGACATTTCTGGTGACCCTTCAATGCCTTTGCGCAACACTTCTGGTGACCCCTGAATGACCGTGGCTGGCTTATTCTTGAAGGAGCTCGGCCCAGGCGCCACGGAGCCATCAGTGTCCAAACATATCATGGGGAGTGCCTGCGAATGAAGAATGAGGCGGACGGCCCAGTAGAGAGAAGGCAGGCAATCCAGACAGGGCCCACACGGGCCATGGACACCACAGGACACTCAGGTCCTTAACCAGAGAAATGGCTTTACAGAGGAAGCTCCCCACAGCTGACTGGTCAAGTGGATCAGGCCTGGTGGCAGTCGTGGTGGCCAGCACGGAGAATCAGCACTGCACGTGGCCCAGCACGCGATGGGTGCTGGTCCTTTTGCGGGGCACGCCCACTTGGTGGGATTCGGGCAGCCAGCCAGGGGCAGGGGGGTGACACTGCCCTCTTGCCCTGCGGAGAAGCTCACTAACCCGTGAGGGAAGGGTGTGTCTGCTCTGGGGTTTGGCCTTGCTCTCCCTGCACCCACCCCCAGTGTGGCGACAGTGGCCCCACAGGTGGGCCTACAAACTAGTCCCCCCTCCCATCTGGTGCTTCACGGGGCTGGGAGGGGGACCTAGAATTCAAGGAGAATTGGGGAGGGCCAGAGGATGCCGCTTTGGCCTTTGATCCTGTGGACTTTGAGAATGGCCCACACGCCCTGGAGCCAGGTTTCTATGTGGGCTGGGCAGTCTGTGTTCCAGGGTCCACTGGAGGAACTTCTATTGGCTTCTACGGTGAACAAGGATGGAGCTGATCCAACTTCCTTAAAAGGAAATATACCTTTTCTTCAACTGAAGGGTGGAATCAGGGAAGAGCTCCAGAGAGGAAACGGGCAGCTGAGAGCACGCCCCATGTGCGAGCTGGTCCTGCCTGTCACTACTGCTTGAATCCGAGAAAAAAGGACACTTTTTTCTGACACCCTAGCCAAATCTGGGTGAGGTTTTGGCTTCTTACCACGTGGCTGAGCAGGTTGGATCCACATTGCAAACTGGACTTTAAATAGGAGGGAAGGAGGCCAGCCCGCACCCTCTGTCCCCCATGGCCTCCCAACAACACAGCTCAGAAAGGAGTATGTGGGGGGGGGTGATTTGTAATGGGGTGCAGGAACACAGAAGAGAGATCTCAGGAAAACGGCCATCAGGGAGGCGGGGTACTTGCCTTGGAACGGACAGGTGAGGACAGGACCGCCTCGGCATCCTCACGCACACGCACCGCACTTTCCTTCACACCATTACCCATTCCAGGCCAGCTCCAGGCCGCAGGAGACTTGGTCCTGGGAGAGGGAGGCACGGTGAGACCCAGTGAGAGGAAGGCGGCCTCCCCCGTCCGCCTCAGGCCCGTGACTCACCCCTGAGTCACCTGAAGCAAGACCTGCCCTAGCCTGGTGCTCTTCCCCGCCTGGCTTCTTGTCTCCCTGCAGGGGAAGGACGCTGGCGCAGGCTTCGGAATGCTGGTCCCCAGCATCTCCCCAGCATCGGCTTAATCATTTACAAAAGTGCTTCTCATCGGCCCTTTGATTTGATCCTCACAAACAGGCCTCTGAGTTGTCTGTTGTTGTTGTTTTTTTTAACCTAGTAACAACCCCATGCAGATGGGCTCAGAGAGGTGAAGCCACCCCTGCAAGGTCACACATCAGGAGGCAGAGGTGTGGCTGGCTGTGGAGGCCAGGGGAGGGAGCCCCACCTGCCTGGACCCAAGCACCCACTGGGCTTTTGTCAGCTAGGACCTGAGTATCTATCAACAGAAACACTTAGAAAATTAATCTTTTTCCTACTGCAAATTTGCCTGATCTCTCTGGCCAAGCTTAGAGTAAAGGGTCCTAATATTTGAGGATTCCTCCCTGGCACCTATATTTAACCTCTGCGTGGAACTGCATGCAAAGCCCAGCAAACCACAGCGACGGGGACAGAAGGAAAAAAAGATGAAAGACTAGTGCCACCAAGACGCCGACTGTGCATTGGTCTTCCTGGGGGGCTCGGGTCCCATGCTCTAAAATCATCCAATAAATCGAGGCGCCGGGGTGGCTCAGTTGGTCAAGAGTCTGACTTCGGCTCAGGGCATGATCTTATGGTTCGTGGGTTCGAGCCCCGCATTGCACTGACAGTGCAGCACCTACTTAGGATTCTCTCTCCCTCTCTCTTTGCCCGTCCCCAACATGAGTGCGTACGTGCACACATGCGTACACACACACACACAATCTCTCTTTCTCAAAATAAATAAATAATTTTAAAAACCATCCAATAAATCAATGCATTTTCCTGTAAAATAATGCAGACACACCCTAAGCAGACTGTGAAAGCCCCTCCAGTCCCTCCCAGGCACCCCAGGTCAATGCCAGGGCAGAGCGGCCTAGACAGCACAAGCAGGATTCCCCTCCACTTGTCCTCTGCTGCCGTTTCCTACCTAAGATGGTTCCTGGCTCCAGGAAGTAAGGCTGCTTCTAAGAGGGCAGGAAACATAAAGATGAGCCCCCAACACCCTCAGGTGCCAGGGAGGAGCCAAAGCCAATGGGGGTGTGACGACGAGACAGGCAGGGGAATCAAAGGGCTCCCCGTGGCCCACAGCTGGGACACCCCGAGCAACAAGTACCAGATTATCATCCAACATGTAAAATAAATATCCACAAGTTGGCAGATAGAAATACATAATAAGGGGTGCCTGGCAGGCTCAGTCAATGCAGCATGTGACTCTTGATCTTGCGGTTGTGGGTTTGAATCTCACATTGGGTGTAGAGATTAAAAAATAAAATCTTGAAAAAAAAGAAAAGAAAAGAAAGAGGGGCACCTGGGTGGCTCTGTCAGTTGAGTGTCTGACTCTTGATTTCAGCTCAAGTCACGATCTCATGGTTCATGAGATTAAGCCCCGCACAGGGCTCTGTGCTGACAGCACGGAGCCTGCTTGGGATTGTCTCTTCCTCTCTCTCTCTTTGCCCCTTGCCCACTCTCTCTCTCAAAATAAATAAATAAACATTAAAAAAGAAAGAAAGAACTGAAGACATAAGTAAGTGGGAAGAAGAGACAAATCCCCCAGGCAAATAATTTGTGAAGCTCCACTATTGGGGGGGGGTGACTCCCCACCCCTCACGTGTGGGCTGCGTGGGGGGACTTCTTTCCAAGGAGTACGCAAAAGAGGAAGAGAGTAACTTCATGGCGGAGACACCCGACAGGTCCCACCTCAGCCAGGTGATCAAGGTCAATATCACATGAAGAGTCACGCCGATGTCCCGTGCTAGGGACACAGTGTGCACTGTGGTCAGAAGGACACTTCACCCACGTGGTCCTCCTTAAACCCATCACACATGCCCAACCATGAAAACACACCAGGCAAATCCCACTTGGGGGGCATCATGCAAAATGCCTGACTTGTTCTCCTCAAAATCGCTGAGGTCCTCAAAAAATAACAAAGTCCAAAAAACTGTCTCAGCCCAGAAAGAGCCTAAGGAGATGTGAGGATTAGACTCAGATGGGATCTGGGGACAAGAAAAGATGTTAGGGGAAACTGAGGAAGAAATGTGACTAAACTATGGCCTTCAATTATAATCTATCAGTATCCATTAGTTGTAAAACAAAAATGTACTGAAGTAACATAGAATGTTATTAACAGGGGACACTAGGTTAATAACCTGGTTATTAGGTTATATTGGGGGGTGTAGGGGAACCGTTACCTTTGCCAATTTTTATACAAATCCAAAACTGTTCACAGACCAACGAGAAATTAGGCCCGAGGGACTTTTCCAAGCCAGCTGCTGGGGTACCGGCCTGCGGGGTGCACCCAGATGGTATCGGCCCCACCCTGTAGCGTGTACGGCTGTGGCTCAGCACCATCCCCGCCACTAGGGGTCCCAGGAGTGATGCCCACATCTGGGTGCTCAGATGGGTGGTGCAGCCTTTCCTAGGGCTGTGTGGAGGCACCGGCATGTTAAATGTGGACACGTTCTGCAAGGGTGTCTTCCTTTGAGGAAGGCTCCAGCCCTTTGATCCCAGCCACACAACGCTCCGATCAGTGGCCTCGCCCTCCTCCCTCCCTCCAGCTCCTGCTCTAAGCTCCCCAGGCGACAACAGCTGGTTTGGGGACAGGTGGGTGGTGCTCTGCAGGGCAGGCTGTACAGGCTCGGGTGGGGGCGGCCTGTAGAGCTCACTGGACCTTTCTTCCCTCGGTTGCCTGGCTCCAGGCAGGTAAGTACAGGAACTCAGTGTAGACAATTCATTAAGCGGCCCGGGTGTGGTAGATGCGGACAGAAACAAAGCCGTCACACAGACCCCTGCAGACCTATAAGAGTGTGTCACTGCAGGTGACAGAGCGCCCAAGGCAAGTCACGGGGTGTGCTCAAGAGACATCTCCACCTGGGGCTTGTGAATGTGACGTGATTAGAAAAAGGGTCTTTGCAGATGGAATTAAGATAAGGATCTCGGGGAGTGAGATCATCCGATGTGAGCTGATAAGACAGAAGAGGACACATAGACATGAAGGCTATGTGACCACACAGGCAGAGATTGGAGTGACGTGGCCATAAGCTGGCCACCACCTGGAGTCCCCAGAAGCTGGCACAGACAAGATCCAGTCCTGGAACCTTCAAAGTGCACGGTTACACGCGTTAGTTTTGAACTTTTAACTTCTAGAATTATGAGAGAATAAAAATCACCAGTTTGTGGTGATTTGTTACAGCAGCCACTGAAAACTGTGGCTAAACCCTCTTTTTTTTTTTAATTTTTTAAATGTTTTACTTATTTCTGAGAGAGAGAGAGAGAGAGAGACAGCGTGAGCAGGGGAGGATCAGAGAGAGACAGAGAGACACAGAATCCGAAGCAGGCTCCAGGCTCTGAGCCAGCTGTCAGCACAGAGCCCGATGCGGGGCTCCAGACCATGAACCAACCGTGTGATCATGACCTGAGCCGAAGTTGGAAACTTAACCGATTCAGCCACCCAGGCGCCCCTAAACCCCTCTTTAGGGAAGAGACTGGGGGGCTCCGGGCACCCCACCCCAGGAGAGTGACAGGTCTCAGGCTGCCAGCTGTTGACTAGGGTCCAGCACCTCCTGGCAACTGGCCAAGGATCACAGGGTGGAGACGAGATCCTTACTCTGGGGGCATGAGGGGGGTAAGATCTCAAGATTTTGTCCCTTAGGTCAAAGGCTCATCTCTAAGAAATAAAGAGCTCTTTGCTATTTCAAATCAGTAAACAAACAAACAAAAAACAACCCAAGACCAAAAAAAAGGCAAAAACAAACAAACAAACCCACCAGGTCACCAGGAAAGAAACAAATAACTTAAAAAATATGACCAAAAAAAGAAGGATGTCCAACTGAGCTCCTAACAGAGAAAAGCAGGCTGAACCCTCACTGAAGGGCTGTTTGCAAGTATTGTAGCAGTTAATACAACGGCTCCAGGAGATGGGGGTGGGCACGGAGGGGCCGGGAGCACACCTCTTTGCAGGTGGTCTGGCAAACACCTTGGAATGTGTGCTCCCCCAATACATGAGCCTGAGGACTCACTGGCCCTATGGCCACTGCCTGCCTGCTGGTGCCACCCAGCAAAGACCTGGAAGGGAAGCTACACAGATGGAGAGGACAGAGGGAATGAGTGACTCACATCCCCATGGAGGGAAGCCACTCAGCCTGCTACTAATGTGCAGAGCCCACCCTGACTAAGTGAGCGAGGTCAACACCTCCGGTGACTGGGCCTATAGACAGCCTGTGTCCCCAACACGATGCCCCAATAGGGACGCGGCATCGCTGCAGTGGGCTTTCTACCGAAGATGCACACCACAGGCTGACCACGAGGGAACAGCACACAGACCACACTGAGGGACATTCTGCAAAAGCGTCAAGTTTGGGGATGATGAGGAAAGACTGAGGCACCGTCACAGACCAGGGGAGACCAGGCAGATAGGATGACAAAATGCAGTGTGGGAGCCTGGGACGTAAGGAGAACATTAGGGGAAACACGGGGGGATCCAAATTCAGGCTGGAGGTGAGCTCCAAAGTTGCCTCGGAGATATTTTCTGGTTCAGGTAACTGTATCCTGTATGACGTTAACATTGGCAGCTGGATGAAGGGTCTACTGGAACTCTGGTTATTTTTGTCACTTTTCTGTAAGCCTGAAATTATTTCAAAATAAAAAGCTAAAAACAAATGCCTTGAGGAAACCGTGACCTTCTGGATGTGCTAGAGGTTTCAGAGAAACCGATTTCAGAGGTCTGCGGGTGCTGAGGGGCTGGCTGGCTGAGCCCTCCTTGTCCAGCTAGTGCCTCCAAGCCAGGGGCTTAGTGTCTTGG